TGGGCTCCTCCTGGTGTAGTGAGTCCTGGGTTTCTCCTGGTGCGGTGGGTCCTGGGTTCCTCCTGGGTGTGGTGGGTCCCGGGCTCCTCCTGGTGTGGTGGGTCCCGGGCTCCTCCTGGTGCGGTGGGTCCCGGGTTCCTCCTGGTGCAGGACAATGCCCGGCCTCATGTGGGGAGAGTGTGCTGGCAGTTCCTGGAGGATGGAGGAATGGGCACCATGGAGCAGTATTATATATATATATAGGGACGTGTGCTGGGACCGGAGATCTCCTTTAAAGTGGATAAGTAACACTGCAATGATTTCTACCTTGGTGGAGGTGATATTCCATTTGCCCCGATGTGTGGGGGAGGGGATGATATTCTATCTGCCCCCGATGTGGGGGAGGGGATGATATTCTACCTGCCCGGTGTGGGGGAGGGGATGATATTCTATCTGCCCCGGTGTGGGGGAGGGGATGATATTCTATCTGCCCCAGTGTGGGGGAGGGGATGATATTCTATCTGCCCCGGTGTGGGGATGATATTCTATCTGCCCCCGGTGTGGGGGAGGGGATGATATTCTACCTGCCCCGGTGTGGGGGAGGGGATGATATTCTACCTGCCCCGGTGTGGGGATGATATTCTATCTGCCCCAGTGTGGGGGAGGGGATGATATTCTATCTGCCCCAGTGTGGGGGAGGGGATGATATTCTACCTGCCCCGGTGTGGGGGAGGGGATGATATTCTACCTGCCCCGGTGTGGGGATGATATTCTATCTGCCCCGGTGTGGGGATGATATTCTATCTGCCCCAGTGCGGGGGAGGGGATGATATTCTATCTGCCCCAGTGTGGGGGAGGGGATGATATTCTATCTGCCCCAGTGCGGGGGAGGGGATGATATTCTATCTGCCCCAGTGTGGGGGAGGGGATGATATTCTTTCTGCCCCCGGTGTGGGGGAGGGGATGATATTCTACCTGCCCCGGTGTGGGGATGATATTCTATCTGCCCCAGTGTGGGGGAGGGGATGATATTCTATCTGCCCCGGTGTGGGGGAGGGGATGACATCCTCAGACCGGCTCATTAATCTCTGTTGTTGTCTCTTGCAGGTTGAAGGGTTCTCGGTGGGGTGTCAGGTGTCCCCCGATGGGGTCGCTCATCGTCACGGGCAGTTCAGACGGCTCTGTGTATTTCTACAATTATCACACCTCCAGGACGGTCCAATCGCTTCCTGGGGACGGGAATGCCTGCGTCAGTGTTACCTGCCACCCCGTTCTGCCCTCCCTGCTGGGCACCGCCCACTGGGACGGACAGATCCGAGTCTGGCAATAGCCGCGTGGTCAGCTGACCGTGTCCAGCCAATCCGCCGTCACCACCCTAGTGGTCAGAGTGCAGAATGTTTTGTATGAGGAGAGCCAACACGTGGCGGTGGATCGGACACGCCCCCTTCATGTGACCTCAGAATGGCCGGACACAGCAGGATCCTTCATATGTCAGAAAACCAGATAAAACCACCAGCAGGTTGTGTGATCGAGACCCCCCCCCCCCCCCCCCACCCAGGGGGGTTCTTTCCTCCTGCTTTTCCTGAGTCCACAAGGACTAGTGGACCAGAGAACAGTCAGAACGTTCCAGGGTGGGTGAATCTGGATGCCCTCAATTCTGGGGTTCAGGTCCCTGCCAGGGAAATATCGGATCACACTCGGCGTGTTGTCACTCGGGGGGGACATTGTGGGACTAGAAGGGGACCGGTTCTATCCGAATGTAATACCCGAAAACACTGGAGACATCCCGGAGGCTCCATAAACAATCCTACTAATATCAATAAACATTTGGTCTGAACTGACTTCCTCAGGAGGGGGGTGGGCTCTGCTCCTGAGGAAGTCAATGCACATGAGAGTGGGAGGGGCTAGCTGACATGATCACATTACCAGGAAGTGATCAGCTGCTCCTTATCCCGGGAGGTGGGGGATGTGTACACACCGGAGGTCAGGCCTTGGAAATGGATTTATCTCTCAATAAATTACTTTGATGGTTTTATACTACGAGAGGCTCTTCGTGTCACTGAACTCCATCTGAGAGCGGAGGGCTGGGGGGAGGAGTTACGGGGTGGGGGGAGGAGTTACGGGGGGGGGGGGAGGGGTATAGGGGGTCCTATAAGAGGGCATTATTATTATAGTCTATGGTGAGGATGTAAAATCCGCTCTTCATCTCCACATTGTGTCCGATGATTCCCGGCCTCCTCCTATCACTGAACTCCATCTGAGAGCGGAGGGCTGGGGGGAGGGGTATAGGGGGGAGGGGTATGAGGGGTATATAGGGGGGAGGGGTATAGGGAATCCTATAAAGAGGGCATTATTATTACTATTCATTGTGTCTGATGATTCCCGGCCTCCTCCTATCACTGAACTCCATCTGAGAGCGGAGGGCTGGGGGGAGGGGTATGAGGGGGGGAGGGGTATAGGGGGTCCTATCAGAGGGCATTATTATTACTATTCATTGTGTCTGATGATTCCCGGCCTCCTCCTATCACTGAACTCCATCTGAGAGCGGAGGGCTGGGGGGAGGGGTATAGGGGGGGAGGGGTATGAGAGGGGGGGAGGGGTATGAGGGGGGGGGGGGGGGGTATAGGGGGGAGAGGGGTATAGGGGGTCCTATCAGAGGGCATTATTATTACTATTCATTGTGTCTGATGATTCCCGGCCTCCTCCTATCACTGAACTCCATCTGAGAGCGGAGGGCTGGGGGGAGGGGTATGAGGGGGGGAGGGGTATAGGGGGTCCTATCAGAGGGCATTATTATTACTATTCATTGTGTCTGATGATTCCCGGCCTCCTCCTATCACTGAAGGAGACCCCACTCATCTCCTTCCAGGGATTCTGGGACACGGAGTCACTATACCCTGTGAGTAGGCACAGCTGTGTCACACCTTTCACAAAGCCCGCCTTCTAATGGGAGGAGTTTGAGGAGGCGGAGTCAGTCCAGGAATCAGCAAGGTACCATGGGATATGTAGTCCTTAGATATATATGTCACATTGGAATATTGTCCACATTTGTATAGATGAGTGTTACATTGTTATTATTATTGCACAGAACTGAAACCTTCACCGGGGGCCACACACAGGGAGGTGTCAGGAAGCCGGCCGGGCCCCGTACTGCTTCATATTGCTGTGTGAGTGCCTGACAGAGCCTCTACTACCTGATATTATCGATACGTTGTCCGTGTCCCCCCCCCCCCCCCGATATACATTGTCCGTGTCCCCCCCTCCCCCCCGATATACATTGTCCGTGTCCCCCCCCCTCCCCCTCCCGTATATACATTGTCCGTGTCCCCCCCCTCCCCTCCCGTATATACATTGTCCGTGTCCCCCCCCCCCCCTCCCGTATATACATTGTCCGTGTCCCTCCCCCCCGTATATACATTGTCCGTGTCCCTCCCCCCCGTATATACATTGTCCGTGTCCCCCCCCCCGTATATACATTGTCCCCCCCCTATATATACATTGTCCGTGTCCCCCCCCCCCCCCATATATACATTATCACGGTCCCTCAGATGCTCTGCAATGTTTGCTTCTCCCATGAAATCAGTTTAGTGACGAGACGTCTTGGGATCTGTTGGGGTAACGAGGGTCCACCATTTCCACCATTTCCACCATTTCCACCATTTCCAGTGATCTCGTTTCCTTTTCATCAATCGTTGGAGATGTTATTATTGGTGGAATTCCTTGGCTGTAGGAATGATCGTCTGTCTGGGTCGTGGCTCCCTGACGAGGTGACACAGGGCCACGAAGGGTGATGTTGTGTAGAGAGTGAAGATCCGTGACTCGCTTTGTTTTACCATCTGCCGGAAAAAATCCCCAAAGACACCGAGGAGGACAAACAAACAGCAGGAGCACCGACCTCAATCCCAAGGAAGGAACGTGTGCCGGCGGCACTGCCTCATCATACTGGAGAACAAATGCTGTGCTGGGAGAAGCAGTGGTTGCCCTGGGAGACCGGACTGGGCAGTGCTATGGAAGCAGTGACATTTGCCGGCATTAGACGATGACATTTCCTCATCTAACGAGAGCAGACATCTCTGCAGAGCCAACCAGAGCTGTCCAGTGCTGAAGTCTGCGCACACCGCTGCCATGGGGGCGATGTACTGACTGCAGTGTGAGAAAGTCCTCTCTACATTTCATCTGCACATGGCTGGACCATGGAATTTATCGTCTGATGAGTCTCAACACCTTTAGTAAATCAGCCTCACTGTGCTGAAATCCATGTGAATCCAATGCATGGCGGCTCATGGCGGTCTACGTGATGTTCTGCAGTGACGTTTCTTCTCTACGCCAATCCAACACACTAGTACAGTATATGCTGAAGGACCTGCATTGTGTCTGAGGTTTGGCTTCAGGTCCAGGACAACACACATGAAGGAACTCAATGCTAAGTTGTCAAGGGGGCCTAATGCAGAATTAGAGCCACTGGAGGGCCACACACAGCAAACTTGCATATTTTGTCAGACTTACGTTCCTGTGTGCCCTGCAGCAATACAAGGTCTGCTCTCCCCTTCATCTGACGCTGCTGCCATCTTCTCCTGGTCTGCTCTCACCTTCATCACTTCATCTGACGCTGCCGCCATCTTCTCCTGGTCCGCTCTCCTCTTCATCACTTCATCTGACGCTGCTGCCATCTTCTCCTGGTCCGCTCTCACCTTCATCACTTCATCCACCGCTGCCGCCATCTTCTCCTGGTCTGCACCCCCCTTCATCGTTCCATTCACTGCTTCCACCATCTTCTCCTGGTCTCTTCGCCCCTTCATCGCTCCATCTACTACTGCCACCATCTTCTCCTTGTCTGCACCCCCTTCATTGCTTCATCTACTGCTCACGCTATCTTCTCCTGGTCCACTCCTCCCTTCATCTCTCCATCCAATGCTGCTGCCATCTTCCCCTGGTCCACTCTCCCCTTTATTGCTCCATCTACCACTGCTGCCATCTTCTCCTGGTCTACTCCTCCCTTCATCTCTCCATCCAATGCTGCTGCCATCTTCCCCTGGTCCACTCTCCCCTTTATTGCTCCATCTACCACTGCTGCCATCTTCTCCTGGTCTACTCTTCCCTTCATCTCTCCATCCAATGCTGCTGCCATCTTCTCTTGGTCCATTCTCCCCTTTATTGCTCCATCTACCACTGTTGCCATCTCCTGGTCTACTCTTCCCTTCATCTCTCCATCCACCACTGCTGTCATCTTCCCCTGGTCCACTCTCCCCTTCATCTCTCCATCCGCCGCCGCTGCCATCTTCTCCTGGTCTGCACCCCCCTTCATCACTCCATCTGCCACCATCTTCTCCTGGTCTGCACCCCCCTTCATCACTCCATCTGCCACCATCTTCTCCTGGTCTGCACCCCCCTTCATCACTCCATCTGCCACCATCTTCTCATAGTCTGCTCCCCCACTTCATCGCTCCTTTTGCCACTGCTGCCATCTTCTCGTAGTCTGCTCTCCCCTTCATCGCTCCTCCTGCCATTTCCACACCTGACTCTAGTGGACTTGCACTGTGCTTGTGCCCCAGGAATACGTTTGCTAGCAGGCAGGTAAAGTGTTTTTTGCATTTTTTTGGCAGAAGAAATTCTGCCAGCTAGCAATTTTCTGCATTACCAGGAATCTCTGAATGGTACAGTGCAGGACACAAGCAGAGTATTCATAGACCCTGGGTTATAGACATGCACCTTCAGATGATTGGACACTGGCAAAGCTTTGAGGACACGCCCCCTGAGCACTTTCCATATAACCAAGCCCAGTCCTCCTGCACAAGAAGAGAGCAGAGCTGTAGGAGGGGCATGACAGGCTCCACCCGCTACAGAACACTCTAGGAGGGGGCGGAGACCAGATCAGTCCCCCCGGTTCCAGAAGAGAGAACAGAGCAGTGGGAGGGGATCAGCAGGCTCCATCTTGTACAGAAAACTACGGGAGGGGAGTCCCCCTGCACAAGGAGAGGGCAGCAGTGGGCGGTCTTTATTACAGGACGTCTCACCCTGGATGGCGGCTCAGATCTGGAAGAAGATTCTAGAATAACATCTGATGAATGGATTTATTATTCCGGAGTTCAGACTGAACTCAGATGTTCATGGAGGAGACCAATAGTAAATGGCTGATCTGGGCTTTTCTTCAAATCCCAAATCCCAGCATCCTTTGCAAATTGTGCATCATGGACATGTTCCATGTCAACTGGTAAGCTGTATAAAATCTTTACTTCCCAAATGATAACAATATATGTAAATCATCAGTTTATAAATCTGTAAAGCTAAAAAAAAAAAATATAAATGCCTAAAATTCATTTGTTTCCTGTTAAAGGAGCACTCCAGCCACATTATCAGACTTTTCAAGTAAAGTAAAAAGACTAAAGTCTTACCTGATAGTTGGCTTTTTACTGCCATTGATGTTCACCTGGCCGGGCCCTGTTTGGTACATAGCTGCTTGTGTCCTCATCTTGTCTATGTGACCTGAAACTGAGCCGGTGTATATGCAGGTCATTGGGTTCAAAGATACCTACAGGTCCATAAGAGTTATACCTGGTTCACCATCGGCATTCCCAGTCATTCCAAAGGTGTTCAGTAGGGTTGAGGTTAGGACTTTGTATAGGACACTCAAGTGTCTCCACACCAAACTGGTCAAACCATGTCTTTATGGAGTTGGCTCCACTCTTATGGAAATGCTTCCCACAATTTGTGGCCATTATAGAGGTCAGGTACTGATGTTGGGTGAGAAGACCTAGTTGTGTGCCATATGTTGGGCACCAAGAAAAAGACCTAGCACACCGTTAGTGGACCAGTTCATCCCAAAGGTGTTCAGTAGGTTGAGGTCAGGGCTCTGTACAGGACACTGGAGTTGCTCCACACCAAACTGGTGATCCATGTCTCCTTCGACCTCGTCACTGTCAAGACCTCCACCGCGCCCAACATCCCTCACACTAAAACCCCCCCCAACACTGCACTCCTTCGACCCTGCTACCACTGAAGAGGTCACTAAGGTCTTCTCTGAAGCTCGCCTCACCACTTGCACCCTTGACCCTGTCCCCACACAACTCCGGTCACCCTCCTCCTCCATCCTACGCTCCCTCATCCACATCTTCAATCTCTCCCTCTCTACTGGTGCATTCCCCTCCCCCCTAAAGCACGCGCACATCACCCCCATACTTAAAAAGCCCTCCCTGGACCCCACCAACCTGAACAACCTCAGACCCATCTCCCTGCTGCCATTTACATCCAAACTTCTCGAGCGCCTCATCTACAATCACCTGAGTTCCCACCTCACCGACAACAACCTCCTCGATCCCCTACAGTCCGGCTTCCGTCCCCTACACTCCACCGAAACCGCCCCACACTCCACCGAAAACCGCCCTACACTCCACCGAAACCCCCCTACACTCCACCGAGACCGCCCTACACTCCACCGAAACCGCCCCAAACTCCACCGAAACCGCCCCACACTCCACCGAAACTGCCCTACACTCCACCGAAACCCCCTACACTCCACCGAGACCGCCCTACACTCCACCGAAACTGCCCTACACTCCACCGAAAACCGCCCCACACTCCACCGAAACCACTCCACCGAAACCGCCCCACACTCCACCGAAACCACCCCACACTCCACCGAAACCGCCCCGCACTCCTCCGAAACTGCCCTGCACTCCACCGAAAACCCCCCTACACTCCACCAAAACCGCCCCACACTCCTCCGAAATCGCCCTACACTCCACCGAAACCTCCCTACACTCCACCGAAACCTCCCTACACTCCACCGAAACCGCCCTACACTCCACCGAAACCTCCCTACACTCCACCGAAACCTCCCTACACTCCACCGAAACCTCCCTACACTCCACCGAAACTGCCCTACACTCCACCGAACCCGCCCTACACTCCACCGAAACCGCCCTACACTCCACCGAAACCTCCCTACACTCCACCGAAACTGCCCTACACTCCACCGAACCCGCCCTACACTCCACCGAACCCGCCCTACACTCCACCGAAACCTCCCTACACTCCACCGAACCCGCCCTACACTCCACCGAAACCGCCCTACTCAACTCGCCAACGATCTGCTAACCACCAAAGCCAATGGCCACTACTCAGTCCTAATCATAAATAAATTTGTGCTTATTGTGCCACTTGTGTCAACATAATAGTGCTCAGTGGTAAATGACCCATAAACAGGAATGTATGTACCAGATCCTCATAATTATGCTCCTCATCCAGGGACCACAGGATAAATGGAGACTCCTCCCCCAGCGTACCTAATCCGCTCCACCTCCACTCAATGGCATATAAGTGATCCTTCCATAGTGCAATATTTATTATAAATAGATATAAAGTAAAATTGCACTCACATGCAGGGGCGGACTGACAACTCATGGGGCCCCCGGGCAATAGGGGATCATGGGGCCCCTGTGTCCTTGCCCAAACTCAAAAAAGCCTATAAAAAAGGTACCAGGGGCATTTCATGGGGCCCCCTACTGACCCCGGGCCCTCGGGCAGTGCCCGAGTGCTCGAATGGTTTGTCCGCCCCTGCTCACATGTATTCCCCAACACATCAGCCTGTCACCACATCCCATCCAATGGGTGTACTGCATGGTATCTGGGGAAGCCAATAAGCATTGGAGGATCTGGTACAGAGGAGGTTACTAGCCTTTTGGCCCTGTATGGGTCATTGTGTGGAGGTGAGGGGAATAGATACGCTGGGGGAGGAGTCTCCATTTACCTTGCGGTCCCTGTTGTCCTGTATGGGTCAGTGTGTGGAGGTGAGAAGGCATTGCTGCGGGTCAGTGTGTGGGGGTGAGCAGGCATTGCTGCGGGTCAGTGTGTGGAGGTGTGGAGGCATCGCTGCGGGTCAGTGTGTGGAGGTGTGGAGGCATCGCTGCGGGTCAGTGTGTGGAGGTGAGAAGGCATTGCTGCGGGTCAGTGTGTGGAGGTGTGGAGGCATTGCTGCGGGTCAGTGTGTGGGGTGGAGAAGGCATTGCTGCGGGTCAGTGTGTGGGGTGGAGAAGGCATTGCTGCGGGTCAGTGTGTGGAGGTGTGGAGGCATTGCTGCGGGTCAGTGTGTGGAGGTGTGGAGGCATTGCTGCGGGTCAGTGTGTGGAGGTGTGGAGGCATTGCTGCGGGTCAGTGTGTGGAGGTGAGAAGGCATTGCTGCGGGTCAGTGTGTGTGGAGGTGTGGAGGCATTGCTGCGGGTCAGTGTGTGGGGTGGAGAAGGCATTGCTGCGGGTCAGTGTGTGGGGGTGAGAAGGCATTGCTGCGGGTCAGTGTGTGGAGGTGAGCAGGCATTGCTGCGGGTCAGTGTGTGGAGGTGAGCAGGCATTGCTGCGGGTCAGTGTGTGGAGGTGAGAAGGCATTGCTGCGGGTCAGTGTGTGGGGGGGGGTGAGCAGGCATTGCTGCGGGTCAGTGTGTGGGGGTGAGCAGGCATCGCTGTGGGTCAGTGTGTGGAGGGGAGAAGGCATTGCTGCGGGTCAGTGTGTGGAGGGGAGAAGGCATTGCTGCGGGTCAGTGTGTGGGGGGGAGAAGGCATCGCTGCGGGTCAGTGTGTGGGGGTGAGCAGGCATTGCTGCGGGTCAGTGTGTGGGGTGGAGAACGCATTGCTGCGGGTCAGTGTGTGGGGGTGAGCAGGCATCGCTGTGGGTCAGTGTGTGGAGGGGAGAAGGCATTGCTGCGGGTCAGTGTGTGGAGGGGAGAAGGCATTTGCTGCGGGTCAGTGTGTGGAGGTGTGGAGGCATTGCTGCGGGTCAGTGTGTGTGGGGGTGAGCAGGCATTTCTGCGGGTCAGTGTGTGGAGGGGAGAAGGCATTGCTGCGGGTCAGTGTGTGGGGGTGAGCAGGCATTGCTGCGGGTCAGTGTGTGGAGGTGTGGAGGCATCGCTGCGGGTCAGTGTGTGGAGGTGTGGAGGCATCGCTGCGGGTCAGTGTGTGGAGGTGTGGAGGCATCGCTGCGGGTCAGTGTGTGGAGGTGTGGAGGCATCGCTGCGGGTCAGTGTGTGGAGGTGAGAAGGCATTGCTGCGGGTCAGTGTGTGGAGGTGTGGAGGCATTGCTGCGGGTCAGTGTGTGGGGTGGAGAAGGCATTGCTGCGGGTCAGTGTGTGGGGTGGGAGAAGGCATTGCTGCGGGTCAGTGTGTGGAGGTGTGGAGGCATTGCTGCGGGTCAGTGTGTGGAGGTGTGGAGGCATTGCTGCGGGTCAGTGTGTGGAGGTGTGGAGGCATTGCTGCGGGTCAGTGTGTGGAGGTGAGAAGGCATTGCTGCGGGTCAGTGTGTGGAGGTGTGGAGGCATTGCTGCGGGTCAGTGTGTGGGGTGGAGAAGGCATTGCTGCGGGTCAGTGTGTGGGGGTGAGAAGGCATTGCTGCGGGTCAGTGTGTGGAGGTGAGCAGGCATTGCTGCGGGTCAGTGTGTGGAGGTGAGCAGGCATTGCTGCGGGTCAGTGTGTGGAGGTGAGAAGGCATTGCTGCGGGTCAGTGTGTGGGGGTGAG